AGGCGGGCCCGGGAGGCCGCAGCGGGCCCCGCGCCTTGGAAATCAACAAAATGATCTCTTTCTGGAGAAATGCCCATAAACGAATCAGGTGGGTCACCGTGGGAGGGCGGGGACGTGTCTGTACCCCTGGCCGGGCCACGGCAGCCCTGGGCCCCCCGGCCCCCACCGGGCCCCCAGGGGCCCTGACCCTGGCTGTGCTGCCCCGGAGGGACAGCCTGGCTCTGGTCTCGGGGCCTGGCTACTTGGGGTCCGGGTTCCAGGGACCGTGGGCAAGTCTCTTGCCTTCCTAGCTTGTTTCTGTGTTTGTGTGGAAAGAGAGGTGCCGCGGGGCCTTGATGCTTAAGTGCCGGAGCCCGGGTGTGGCTGACGACCGTCGAGGGTTGGTGGCCCATACGCCGCGCCAGGGCTGGGAACTGGGTCCTGGGGCCGAGGATGGCAGTGAACTCGGGAAGGCTGGCTCGTGGCTGGGGGTGGGAGGTTGTTCCCGCAGCAGGAAGGGCACTACCGTGGCTGCTGAGGTCTGTCCCAGGCGGGGTGGGGACACTTGTGGCGGGGCTGACAGAGGAGGCCTGGCTGGCTCTCTGCTGGCATGCGCTCCGGAATGGTAGATTCCTGGGCCTGTCCTGGATGAGGCCTGTGGGAAGAGCGGAGGCTGGGCAAGGAAGGACGGGGCACCGTAGCCCCCACAGCTTGGGCATAGGGGCGGCTTCTGCTCCTCACGGATGTTCTGAGCCTCAGTCCGTCTGTCCCCACAGCTCCCAGATGGTGGTGTGGCTGCCCAGGTCGGCTCTGCCCCGTGCGGTGACCCGGTATGGCCTGCTGTGTGACCGTGGGGAGGGGAGACCCGGGCGGGGTGGGCCCCAGGGCCCAGGCAAACTGCCGAGACTCGCGTTCTCCCCGCCTTGCCAGGCACCCGCACTACGACGAGGAAGGCCGCTACGGGGCCATCCTGCCTCAGGTGGTGACCGCCGGCACCATCACCCGCCGGGCTGTGGAGCCCACATGGCTGACTGCCAGCAACGCCCGGGTACGTGCCCTCTGTGCCTCTGGACCCTGCTCTTCCTCTGCTGTGTCCCTAGGAACTGGGGTGTGGAGGGCATGGGGAGGGAGGGGCCTGGAAAGGAGCCTGAGGTCTGGGGCGGGCAGGGCTCCGGGTCAAGTCTAGCTCCACAGCTGCTCTTCCTGCAGCAGACGGGGTCCGGGTACCGCCGCGTAGCCCGCTGTTCACGTGCACGGGATCCATACAGCTGTGGGGGTGTTGCGGGGGGGCCGGTGTCAGGCCAGGTGGGACAGGGAGGGAGGCTCTACCTGTCACCCCGCCGCTGCCAGGCGGCCACCCCCGGAACTGTGGAGTTTGGGGCCGTTGTGTGGCGCCCCCAGGACAGGCCCAGCATTCTCTGTCAAGTCCGGCTCCGGGGATCGGGGCTCACTGGGCTCTCGGCGTGGGGCCCGACCTCACTATTCCGCAGCCTGACCGAGTGGGCAGCGAGTTGAAGGCCATGGTGCAGGCCCCTCCCGGCTACGTGCTCGTGGGTGCCGACGTGGACTCGCAGGAGCTGTGGATCGCAGCCGTGCTCGGGGACGCCCACTTCGCCGGCCTGCACGGTGAGCCGGGAGCGGGGCCGGGCCGTTCGCTGGCCACGCGGCTCTGGGGCTGTTTGTCACCGCCCCCTCCCCGCTCGCCCCCGCAGGCTGCACGGCCTTTGGCTGGATGACGCTGCAGGGCAGGAAGAGCAGGGGCACCGACCTGCACAGCAAGACCGCCGCAGCCGTGGGCATCAGCCGCGAACACGCCAAGGTCTTCAACTATGGCCGCATCTACGGGGCGGGGCAGCCATTCGCCGAGCGCCTGCTGATGCAGTTCAACCACCGGCTCACGCGCCAGGAGGCCGCTGAGAAGGCCCAGCAGATGTACGCCGTCACCAAGGGCCTTCGCCGGTGAGGGCCCCGCCCCCATGCAGGTTACTCCCCCTCCAGGCGTCAGGCCTGCTCGGGCCCCCCGCCCCCGTGTCCCCCTCCTGTTTCCCTTCTCTCCTTGCCCGAGCCTTTCTTGTCCCCGTTCCGTTCAGACCCCAGACCTTGGTCCAGGATGGTTTGTGCTTAGGTTGTGACGTTTGTGTCTTCAGTAACCTTAAACAGGCTCGGTCGTAGAGTCAGAGTCGGGGCTGTACTTCTGTCGCGTTGCCGCCAAGCGGCAGCACGTTAGCAGCTGCGGTCTTGCTGAACACCCAGCGGGAACTGGGGCGCGGAGCCGGGGCAGCCCGTGGGCAGGGGTGGGACCTCGACAGTTGACAGGAGGGAGCCGTGCAGCGCTGACACCCTTGACTGACCGTGACCGGAGGAAGCCTCCCCGGGCTCTGGCTCGTTTCCTCTGAGGGCGCCTTCTGTGTGTTTGGGGCCGTGGTGGGCTCCTGGGGGGCTTCCCGGAGCAGGGGTGAGGGAGGAAGGTATGCGGCCGGCTTCCGTAGGTGCGCTGTGCAGCGTCCACATCCTAGTAGCCGGCCTCCTCGTGACACCGAAGGGCAGGCAGGGGACAGTGTGGCCGTGACTGCACACGTGCACACAGGGAGGTGGGGTGCCATGCAGCGTGGGGGGGGGGGGGCGTGCTTGGGCGGGGGCGAGAGCAGCAATGGCAAAGGTCAGGCTGTAGTTCGGGAGAATTTGATGGCGTCACACAGGAGTCTGGGCCGAGGGCACAGGAGGGCAAGCCCTGGTGCTGCTGTGAGGTGGTGCGTGACAGGCTCTGGGGCCATGAGGGGACAGGCCTGGTGGTGACCCGGCTGCGCCAAAGCCAGGAGTCAGGTGGTGGGAACCAGGTGATCATTGGGACCTGGCCGTGTGTGGTTTCCTCCAAATGCGCTCTTCCCGCGGGGCGGTCCCAGCTCCCACTGTCCCCTCCGGGGCTGCTGGCCCTCGCTGCCTCCACAACTGAAACGTGGCAGCTGTTGGTCGATGGGTGGATCCGTGTCTGCGGCACCTGCTCTCGTGGCAGAGTGTGGCCCTTCCCGGGCCAGCACGGCACAGCCCACGACAGCCTGGGCCTCACCTCTCCTGGGGAGTCCCTCGCTGGCTCTGGGCCGGTTTCCCCCTGAAGCAGAGCCTGTGGGGATCTGTGGACACTCCCGGCCCCGGGCTTGACACACACGCGGCCATCCCCCAGGCGCGGTAACGGGGACATTGCCCGCAGGTACCGGCTCTCGGACGAGGGGGAGTGGCTGGTGAGGGAGTTGGAGCTGCCCGTGAACAGGACCGAAGACGGCTGGGTTTCCCTGCAGGATCTGCGCAGGATCCAGAGAGAAGCCTCTAGGAAGTGAGCACCCGCTGTATACGCGGGAGGCGGTGGGGGCAGGGGGCGGGGGGGGGGGGGTGGTGGCCTGGGAGAGCTGCAGTGCGTTTTCAGCTCTGAGATGCCGAAAGGCAAAGCTTGCCCTTTTCCCCTGGTCCCCAGGTCCCACTGGAAGAAGTGGGAGGTGGTTGCCGAACGGGCGTGGACGGGGGGCACCGAGTCCGAGATGTTCAATAAGCTGGAGAGCATCGCCACGTCTGCCGCCCCGTGCACACCGGTGCTGGGCTGCCGCATCAGCCGCGCCCTGGAGCCCGCGGCCGTCCAGGGGGAGGTAATCCCGCGGTCCTTGGAGCGGGAGCAGAGGGGTTGCGGGGAGGGCAGGGCTCCTCCCCAGGGCGAGCAGCGCAAGCCTGCTGACCCGCCGTCCCCCCCCCCGCCCCAGTTTATGACCAGCCGCGTGAACTGGGTGGTGCAGAGCTCTGCTGTGGACTATTTACACCTCATGCTCGTGGCCATGAAGTGGCTTTTTGAGGAATTCGCCATCGACGGGCGCTTCTGCATCAGCATCCACGACGAGGTCCGCTACCTGGTGCGAGAGGAGGACCGCTACCGCGCGGCCCTGGCCCTGCAGATCACCAACCTCCTGACCAGGTGCGCGCCGCCTCCCGTGCGGCTTCCCCGCCCCGGAAATGCTGGCTTTGGTTTTTAGGTCTAGTTGAAAATAGGGTCTTAAAAGACGGGGCTCTACTCTTAAGAAAGATTTCTTGGGTTTGAAAAGAAGCTGTGCGCCCAGACCCCAGCACGGAGGCAGGGAGCGGTCACAGGTCCGGGAGGGGTTCGGAGGAGTGGCGGTCATCCGGAACCCGCCTGGGCACACAGCGTGGTTCTGGAGATCAAGTCCCAGGTAGCTTTTCTCTGTTCCTACACAATTGAGAGGTTTTTCTTTCATCCACAAGTGTTTCCTTAAGTGCCACAAGTTTAAACGTAACTTAAATATTTTATATACGAAGCCGTATTTTCTTATAGAAAAATTCTCGTTTGCGTGGTTTAACTAAATGCTAACTGGAGCTCCATGGGAGTCTGTCATCAGAACCCGTTTGGGAACCAGATGTGTCCTGGTGGTTTAACAAGTATTCTATACGCGTTACCCCGTCTCCACTGCCCTCTTGACAAAGCTAGGAGGCCCCGTAAGTCAGACGGTGTACATCCGTGAAGTGCACCAAACCGCGGGGGCAGAAAGATGTGTTTCGAGGCCCTGATTTCACCTCCGTGTCGGAGGGAGGGGCTGCGGGCGGAGGCTGTGCGGGCCACGCCTGACAGCAGGTTGGGTCTCTTCCAGGTGCATGTTTGCCTACAAGCTGGGTCTCCAGGACTTGCCCCAGTCAGTCGCCTTTTTCAGTACAGTCGACATTGACCAGTGCCTCAGGAAGGAAGTGACCATGGATTGTAAAACCCCTTCCAACCCAACCGGGATGGAAAGGAGATACGGCATTCCCCAGGGTGAGCTGCACACGTTTGTTCGTTATGCCCCACACGTCAGGGGGACTAGAAAGTGGCCTTGGCACGGAAGCCCACGCCTGCTTCAGTTAAGTATGTGCCAGGGTCCCAAGTGAACATGTTCAAATCACAGAGGGACAGGGTTCCAGAAAGCTGGTTGCAGTACGTGAGGAAAGAAACCAGAACTCAAATACTCACTCTCCTCCCACACCAGAAATGCTTTTTAAGATTTATTGTAGAAGGTTAAAGTGCATTCTCAGGTGGAAGGAACTGTGCTTTGAATACTTGGAACAAGTTAAAGGAAAAAGATAGTTAACTTCTTAGGGACACTCCCCCGGGTGACCCTGCCCCTCCTCCAGCCTCCCTGCTCGCTTCCGGGGAAACCTCCTGAGCGGCTCGCACTGTCTTTCAGGTGAAGCGCTGGACATCTACCAGATCCTTGAACTCACCAAAGGCTCCTTGGAAAAATGAAGCCCGGCCCGTAGCTCTGCCCAGAGGCCCCGTATTTGCTCCCGTGGAGCTTCGTCGGGGTGCCGCGGGCTCCCACACTCAGGCTGCTTCAGCTGCGCTCTCTGCAAACGGGTCTGCCTCAGGCCGGCCCCCACCTGAAGGTGCAGTGGAGTCGGAACCGGGGCGCCGTGCGTGTTGGGTAACAAGAAAGCAGAAGCCCCGAAGTTCACATTAACTCAGGCATTTCGTTTCTCTTCTCCGTCTCTTCGTGGCGGGTTCTCGGTCCTGCCCCTCGCGCTCTGCTGCAGCGCCCTAGAAGGGGACAGGAGTCAGGCCTGCTGAGGGGCAGCGAAATAAAAACAAAAATCCTTTATCTTCTCACCAAAGCCTGTGGTGGTGGTGCTTTCTCCCACAGACAGGACAACCTCCTAGGAGGGGGGAGGCCCGTGCTAATGGCCTTCCTCCGGACAGACGCAGGGGGCAAGGCCAGCGGCGCCCGGGTGCTGCGTCGCTCAGTGCAGGGGGAGGGGCCAGGGCCTGGGAGGTGTTCACCCAAAGAATGTAGGTTCAAAATTTTTGAGAAGCCACAGATCGGGGGTCTTGTGTAAATCTCCGTGTCAGACAGACCTGAGCCAAGGAAAGTGGTAGGGGCTCGGGTGCTAACAGGCCCGCGGAGGCCGAGACGCAGGCGTGGGTGCGGGCAGCCCTCCCTGCCTGAGCTCCTCACAGCCAGGCCCTACCGAGACCAGGGCTGGAAAGAGGAAGGAAGATGCTGGGGGTTGGTCATTTCCCAGCAGTTCAGAAGGTCACAGGGAGAAGACCCATGGTGAGAACTTTTGTCGTCACCCCCTTTCTGGAAAGGTCTACCCCAAAATGTACACAAAACTGGGTAATTTCAGACGGCGCCAGACTCAGCCCTTCTGTGACAGCCCTTCGTTTCGGCTTCGCCGACCCCCTGGCCCTCTCGGTGGCTCCCTCCCCTCAGGTGCAGGCTCCTGGCAGAGGGGGCTGGGCTTGCCGCGCTCCAGTCAGGAGCAGGCACTGACCTCGTCGTCGTCGTCGTCTTCGTCGTCATCGTCGCCGCCCTCCTCCTCCTCCACTCGAAAAACCATGTCCAGGATGTTCCCTTTGATCTTGAAGTCCCGGGAGGTGCTGAGCTTCATGTGCTGCATCAGGTTCACCTACGACAGAAGCTTCTCTTACCTGCAGTCAGGGGCCCCCTGGGGTGCTGCTGCGCCCCTCGGCCTGCTCTCCATCCGCCCCTGCAGGGACGTCCAGGTCCAGGCCGTCAGATCCCACAGAGCAAAGGGCCGCCGTCTGCCCACTGCGGCCGAGCCGCTTCCGTGGGCCAGGCCCCCTCGCGGGGTACGTGGAAACGGGAGAAAATAAAAAGTAGGTCTACCTTGGACTTCTTCGACAGGTGGATGAGGAACTTTTCATACTGTTCGATGGCAAAGATGAGATTAGGGATTGGCTTGGTTTCCCGCAGAACTCGGGCCTACAGGCAAAGAAGACCTAAATTTCAGGGTCACGGGTTTTCAGAACTGTCCTGTGAAGCAGGAGAACTGCTCGTGGCTTTGCGGGGGAGAAAGCAGTCTGCCCTCCAGGCACACGCACGCCTCCTACGCCAGTCCTCTACGATTTCTCGCAGCTCCACCTCCTCAACGGCCCTGGATACCGATAAAGACAGCACCAGATCCTTCCATTTAGAATTCCTCGGTTTTGTTTCACAGACCGGCTGGAAGAAGGACCATTTGGAGAATGTGGTTGCCTCCCTGACTTGATATTTTTAACACGGTGAGCCCACCCTGCACTGGCCCCGTCTCTCACCCACAAGGGAGGACACTGTTCTCCTCTTTTTTCCCCCCACGATCTTTTCCACAACGGAACTTTGCTGTGTCTGAACATTTAGATGTATTTTCTCAGGCCTGCGTCGTACCCTATAGTACAAACGCACCGTAACCCTGTCAGCCAGTCCACTCGGTGCATAGCTTCTGTCTTAGGTTTTCTAGGACCCGCCTCACTTTTACAAATGCCCCCACCACGGCTGCCCTGGACCCAGGCCGTTAGCGTCTACGGCCAAGGAGTGGAAGTGCTGCAGCGCACGAGTGGGCAGACCTCCCGAAACAGCACTCGTTGCCCAGCTGCCCGAGGTACCCCCTGGTGTCCACCTGTGCCAGCAGTGCCCTCCTCTCCCGCCCTGTCCCCTCACTGACACCAGCGTGTCCTTTAGGGAGCATCTTCGACACACATTAACTCTTCCTAAAATAAATCCTTTCCAATGGGAATCTGAAGCCATTTCCATTTTTAAAGAAAGAGCTTGAGATTTTTCTGGTGCTTCCTCAATAAAGTACGCAGTTTTTAGTTGAGGAAAAAGCCGTTCTACCTGAGCACAAACCCCGTGAGCCTCGGAGAAGCACCTGCAGGCGCGCACACTCTGGTAGCAACTTGAACGAGCTCTAGGTCACACCTCACACAACGTCCCCGTGGATGGTGCGCGGTTCAGCGCGCGCACTGGGAGCTGTGCGGTCACCACCGTGACCCGTCTTAAGCCCTCCCCCACCCTCCCAGGGAACCCCATGCCTGTTTCACAGCAGGCACCCCTCCCCGCACTCCCCCCAGCCCTGGACAACCACCAATCTGCTTGCTGTCTTCTCAGACCTGCCCGTTCTGGGCCTGCCACGTAAATGGAACCCTCCAGTACGTGCTCTTTCTGCGACTGGCCTCTTTCCCAAGGCTCAAGAGCGCTGCCGTGTCAGCAAGCAGCGCGGGCTGCCTACCATGGCCGGAGCAACAGCAGCGGCTTTCCCCTTTTTCTTCTCTCCTGTGTGTTTTAGGCTCTGACTCCTCTTGTTCTGAAGAAATAGAAACAAATTCTCTCAATTCCTGAAAATTTTTCCCGAGAGCCAGCGGGCAGGCCTGGCGGTCATTTTCTAAGAAGGTGAGGACAACAGAGTATGGGGACTCTTCAAGGGACCACGTCCGGGTGGAAAAAACTGGTGCAGACACTGAAAGATGGGGGGCGTTCTGTGACACTTTATGATCCTCAGATTTTTTTTTTTAATTGCTGAGAGGTTTACAATCTCGGTCTCAGAACTAGCAAATGAAAGCGAGGGCCGGAACCACTGTTCTTGTACCAGACCTGCCAAGGGACCAGAGAGGCACAAAGAATGGTTAAAATGGGGACTGTGTTTCCCAACTGGGCAATTGGCTCAAAGGGTTTCCATGAAGGAGAGGTGGCTGCCAGGGCCTCCAGCCCCCCCACTTGAAGGCAGACACCAGGAGAGTGAGTGTGTGCACGCACCACATGGTCACGTGCCTGAGAAGGCTTAGAAGTCATAGGAACACTTTCCTGTGTTGTAAATAATCGCAGAATAAAGGGAACCAAGACAGACAAGACAGAAGAGAGTTAAGGCCTACGCCACACGTGAGGCACACGAAACACAGAAACCTTTACCGGAAGGGGCACTGTGTGCCTTCTGGGAACAAACACACAGGCCCCGTGGGACAAGTTAAGAGAATTAAAATGCAAAGCTGAAGATGGAGAGAACTGTACCACTGGAACCATGTGTGAGAGACTGGAGTCTTAGTCCCCATGGCACGTTCTGGAAATTAAGAAGTAGAGACTCCAGAGGGGCTGGTGTGAAGGTCTATTTTTAGCCCTGGAAGACGGGGTAGACGACGAGGCCCTTTTAAGAGAGGGGCAGGGAAATGGCCACAGACTGAACTCATGTGACCAAGGGGGAAGCAAGGGATCCTTCTAGAGGTGGTCCCCAAGATGGGATCCTGTCCCCTGCCCATTCCCAGTGATTCAGGATGCACTGAAATTACAGCCAGAAGAGGCACCTTTTAAAGGTACATGTTCTGAGCAGCATGCTAAGGGGTTTTCACTGTTTTCTTACTGAGATCCAAGGCTGTGGGGAAAAAAGAAGGGGCTGTAAGAGAATAAACAGCTCTCTGAAAGCAGGCAAATGCAAGCCTGCTTTCTAGATAAGAGTTGGGATTAATGGAACCATACACTTTTTGCCCAAGGTTGCTCATAAAGCACATCTCACAGAGAAGAATGTCTGCCTGTGGATCAGCTGACTTGTCCAGCTTTAAGTCAAATCTAGGTGGGGAAGGGGAAAAACATCCTGAGAATACATACATTGGTTTGTTGGGGGTGGGGGGTGGCGGTGGAATGGGTCAGAAACTTATACAAAACCCTCCAATATTTTACATGACAACGATTCTGGAGGCGGGACTGGGAAAGTACAGCCCATAGGCCAAGATCAGACCACGGCTTGTTTCTGAAAATGAAGTCTCATTAGAACATAGTCCCATTCGGGACACCTGGTGGGTGGCTCAGTTAGTTAAGTGATCGACTCCTGATTTTGGCTCAGATTATGATCTCCTGGTTTGTGGGATCGAGCCCTCTGTGGGACTCTGCACTGAGCATGCAGCCTGCTTGGGATTCTCTCTCTCCCTCTCCCTCAACATAAATAAATGTTAAAAAACAAACAAACAAACAAAAAAAACCCATGGTCACCTTCATTTGCATACAGTCTATGGCTGCCTCTGTGCCGTAGAGCCAGAGGTGAACAGCTCTGATTGACCGTGGTCTGTGAGACCTGAAACATTTACTACCTGGCCTTTTACAGGAAAAATCTGCTGACCCCTGGTGTAGATTCAAGCTATGCGGGTTCAAGTCTGCCTCTGAACTAGCTCTCTATTCTTTGGGTCCACCTCTAGTCTATCTGGGTAACCACTAAGCACAAGGTGTACTAAGAATGAACGAGGTGAAGCGGGAGGGGAGCTCCACACGACCGCAGGCCGGGCTGCAGGCCAGGGAAGGCTTCTCTGCACGTCAGCTGCTCCGGCAAAACGACTGTGGTCTCAGAGTGCCGGCTCCCAAGCCCTACTCTCTGGACCGCCATTCTGGCAAACAGGTAACACGTTCCTAAAAAGTTAAAGTCCTTGAATAGATTTTAAAACTACTACTGAACGTCCTGAATGACTGCTGGGCCTCTCAGCAACTTGAACATGCTAACAGGTACCACGAATCTCTAAGATGAGAAGGAAGTACAAGTACTTCTCATAGAACCCTTTTTTATTTTGTGGACTCAGTCTATACTGCATACTTTGTGAAATGTGGCCTTGCTGGAGATGGGGAACTCAGAACCTGAACTGAAGCGTAGGGGGCTACATCCTGTATCTGGATGAGAGGGGTCTGACAAGCTGGCACGTATGTGCACGGTTCTGAGCGAGCGTGCAGCTGAGGTCCCAGGGGAGGGCCGGAAGCGACAGCTTGGTGACAGCAGGCCACACACTGTGGCCAGACAGAAGACCTGACCCTGAGCACGAGCCTGGTACAGGGCAAGGGGCCAAGGACCTCAGCTATCAGCACACTACTCAGAACTCCTCTGGCCAAACGCAGACGACAGGCCGCTCAGTCACTGATGCACAGGAGAGGGGAGGAAGCACCCGGCACACGGAGCAAAGCAGTTAGCGATGAAGACGTGCCCGCGCACAGCACAGAGGCGGAAACCAAGTGCGGCTTCCCTACGAAGCAGCCACAGCCCACTGCCGGAACATGGGGTCGAGGCTCTCAGCTGGGGCTGGCCCAGGAGTGCCCGTCTGCTGGGCTCTGCTGGGGACATCAGTAACTGCCCTGCAATCCTCTCAACTCCGGGGACTAAGTGGCCTCAGGAGACACAGGGTCTTCGTGTGTTTCAGTCAGTGATTCTCGACTGGGGGTGATTCTGCCTTTTTGAGACATTTGGCAATTTCTAGAGACACTTTGGTTGTCACAGCTGGGAGGCTGCTACTGGCATCTGGAAGGCGGAGGCCAGGGCTGCTGCTCAGTCTCCCAGAATGCACGCAAGAGGCCCTGCATCAAGGAATTCTCTGGCCCGAGAGAGGCCGATAATGCAGAGCCCTCCAGTCCCTGGCTTAAGCCAACAGTTAACAGTGACTCAAGTATCATAGGAACCTGATGGCATCTGTGACCAGATGACATTTACATTTCTCCAAATCTGGAAAGAGCCCATTACTTTACTTTAGGATGAGAAGAAAGGGGTCTGAGCAAATGACAGGAACAGCCCACATGGCCTCGGCCTCCTTGAAAGGGCTGCCGTTCCCACCCACGCTGGCCAATCTCAGCCCTTTGTATGTCCACTGCCTCTTCACTCACACACCAAAGGATGGCTGATGGCACGGATTTAGAATCACCTAGAAATGAACCAAAGTCACAGCTCAAGCATGCATATGCCTTCCCTACTCCAAATGCAAATTTATCACTTTCTCCTACTTAATTAAAACTTTTTCTTTGTCTGAATGAAGATTTCCTTGCTGCAAAGACCTCAGGCTTTGGCTTGAGGCTGAATGGGCAGCCACCTCTGGCTTATGGTAAGTAGGGAAGACGCTTTATATACACTTGGCTCACGTGATCAAGCAGTCTCCTGGGGACACAGAAAGTCCTTTCTGACTGGAAGATCTATTTTGATACGGACTCTGAACCACTTACCTGAATGTAAGAAATGAAAGAATAGCACAGGGGGGTCAAATGAGAACCAGACAGTTTCACCTGCAGCAAAAGAGAAGGAAACCAATGTAAGTGCAGGAATAAAATGCTTCCCCATTCCTAGGAAAGGAATTTGCAACTCACCAGCTTTTCCATATTTTTCGGAATTCCTCCGGAGCTCTGACAAACCTGGAGATACTAACCAAAGATTTCCAAAGATTAACTTGCATCCTCTAGCAGTGTTCCCTAACACCTGCAGGTGACTCAGTGGGCTAAGGGAGTGGGGCTCACCACTGACTGGAGATGGGAAAGAAAACAAGCTGCCCTATTTAGGGAGAAGCCTAGACACAAGCCCTCCTCTGTCCCCTCCTTAGCCTCCCAGGCGACAGGCAATGAAGGGTTTGTTTCTGACTCGCTCAGCTTACTGCTTAAAACTCCTTCAGGCTGATGGTCCCTGCATCTAGAAAACTCATGACTTTACTGTTTTTCCTTTAAATAATGCCAATGGGGCGCCTGGGTGGCTCAGTCAGTTAAGTGTCCAATTTTGGCTCAGGTCATGATCTCATGGCTTGTGAGTTCGAGCCCCACATCAGGCTCTGTGCTAACAGCTCAGAGCCTGAAGCCTGCTTCAGATTCTGTGTGTCTCTCTCTCTGCCCCTTCCTCGCTCATGTTCTGTCTCTCTCTCCTTCATAAATAAAAACATTAATTTTTAAAAAAAAAAGTCAATAAAGGGGTGGCTGGGTGGCTCAGTGGGTTGTGGGACCAGAATGACTCAAACTCGGGTCAAGATGTCACGGTTCATGGGTTCATGGGTTTGAGTCCCACATCGGGCTCTGTGCTGTCAACACAGAGCTGCTTGGGATCCTTTGTATCGTCCCCACCCCCCACCCGCCGCTCCTTCCCCGCCTGTGTGTGCACTCTCTCAAAAATTAAACATTAAAAAAATGCCAACAGAGAGAAGAAGCTTTCAGTATTTCCACTAAAGAAGCGTAGAAGCCACCACATGGCCAGATCTACACCTTCTCAGAGACAGCTGCGCTGCTGTTTGGGGACACCGGACACGGGGGTCTACCATCCTTCTTGGGTTGTCTACACCTTTCTAAGTATTTAATATGGATCACTGCTCGAATCAGAACTAAACCACCCAGTTCCTACCACCTCGCGAATGTCTGCTGAGGACCAAAATATTCGAAGCACTAGAAAAGAGTTCCTTGTTAACAGATAAAACATAAGAAGCATTAACTTAAACTCAGGGCAGGGTATGCCTTGCATTAAAAAAAAAACCTTTCTCCCACCCAAGTACATGACCTGACCCAACTACCTGTAAGACATTTAACACCTACTTGTTAATGGAATAAACGCCTCTTTAGTGCCCAGACTGGTTTGAAATGGTATAATTTAGTGTGCATTAAGGAACTGGATTGAATTCCATAGCTGTAATTTAGATTAAGCCTTAGAAAGCATTCGAAAGGGCATACACTCTCAGTTAGGGGTCACATACAAAAAGCCAACAAAATAAGAGCCTCTAAAGGAGATTTACAATTATCCCAACAACTGTTTCTTCCTGGCCCCTCATGGAGACACCTGCCACCTACTGCCCAAACCAGACTCAAACCATGACTTGCACAGAAGTAGGCAAAAAGAGCTTGCACAGCGGCCTTCACAGCAGGGAGCTGCTGCCTGGCCGAGTCTCAGGCTGGCCGGGGTGGCCTGGTGGGGGTGGCTCCGGTCACCTCTCTGATACTCACGTATCTGACAAGTGCAGTGAGGATGGTGTACATTTTGCACAGGCCCTTTAACAAGATGTCCACACAGCTGCCCGATGGCAGGGCCGTCTGCACCAGCTCATGGAAAAACGTAAGCAGAGTTCCCAGCTGTATGATGACAGCTTTCTCGACAGGATGACTGGGCAGGACTGACTGAGAAGAGGCCTCTTCTAAAGGGAAATGAAATTGGCCCATTCAAACCCACTGACCGTATTTTCAGTTAAAGTGAAGGAGACTTAGAAATCAACTAACCACCATTAAACAGGAAGTCTGTAGGGACAACGAGCATGTAATTCATCATGCAGAGTGAGTCAACAGCCATTCTGTCACAGGCCACGCTACAGTCTTTTTCCATCGTGCTGGAAATCCAGCCCAAGCCAACAGACAAATCAAGCTGCGCTTTTATATACCAGTCAATCTGGATTTTGGTTGTCTCTCTTCACGATTCTTGGAACTCCATCCTGAATGCATCTTACCTGATAGCATTTCTTGGCTCACTTGTCCCTTAAGCTTGGTGATCAGCCAGTCCACTTCTTCTAGGACTTTCTCAGCCTGACTCAGAACAAGTAACTGTGAAAGAAAAGAATGTCTAGCGCGGCTCACTGGTGGAACACAGCTCCCAGGGCCACCTGCGGGTGGGTCATGGGCCTCAGGACATGAGCCACTACAATGGACTCTTCACGTGGAACACAACGGAAGGAGCGGGAAGACTACCTGCCACGGCACGGGGACCCACACTTACACAAACAGTAGGGGCAGCTGTTCTCAAAGTCACCATCGCAAAGTGGTTTGTTTTCTCCATCTCTACATCCTGAGGAGGCAGAGACAGGGGAGATGTAATGGCAGTAAAGCTGTCCCCCAATCGGGATCCCTGCTCAGGGTGCTGAAAGCGATGGCGCGTGACAGTACCTGGTCTATGTCTCCCAGATGCCCGTGGATGTCCTGGGACAAGTCACGCAGCAGGGTGACCGGACTCTTATACAAAACATGGAGGCTGAAGAGCAAACTCATCAAGCCCTTACAAAACGAGGCATCCTCTAAGAGTGGGAAGGAGACAAAACTAAAAGTTATAACCCAGTCAGCCTTTAGGGCACGGTGTGCCTAACCAGGAACGTGGCTTGCCCTGTCCCACGTACGATACCACAGTGCTACGCACAGTCTGCCCATGGCACCGTGGCACACTCTGTCCATGGGCCCAAAGAACGGAGAGGTTTCCTAGTATTAGCCAGTCACTCTCACCGTGTAACTAGCACCCAGATCAAGAAACAGAACGTTACCAGCACCCCAGAACCTCCCCTCCTACCTCACTTGCCCTAGCAAGGGACCAGCTATCCTGATTTCCACCGGCACGTCTAGTTTTGTCCAATTTTGGACTTTATCTAAATGGAATCAAGCAGTAAGTATCTTCATGTGTCTGGCTGCTTCTGTTCACCATCAGGTTTGTGCAGTTCCTGCACATTGTGTGTCCGTAGTGTGGGTGTGTGCACACGGCCATTCCTTTATCCACCGCACTGCTGACAGGCAAGTGGGTTTGTTTCTGCCTATAAAAGCAGCGCTGCTGGGAGAAGCCAGGAGTGGGGCTGCCGGACAGCAATCCGATGATGCCCAAGAGTCTCCCAAGTGGCTGCATCAACACAGACCTCTTCCAGTGGCGGAGGGGAGGGCCGACCGTGCTGCATTCTTACCAGCACTTGGTATTGTGGATCTTTGTCATTTTGGTCCTTCTGGTGACTGTGTAATGAGTACCTTTTCTTTTTAAAATGCAATATATTTGGCAAAGATGATTTTATATAAAGCCTAAAAGGAAACAAGGAAGGAAACTTACCTTGGCTGTTTTCCTTGCAAATCTTGGATGTCCAGGATAACATCTGCACAAACTAGAAATCATTTAGATATTAAAGAAACATGCCAGAAGACAAACAGGCCTAAGTGCTGTCAGACTGGAAGAGCTCTAGACCTTTCTAAATCTCATCACCTGCAGAAATTTGTGCCTGGATCTAAAGTGATGATCTACTAAGAATAGCATAAAAATAAGTCCAAAATTATTAGATGAATTACTGATTCTTCTCTCATGATAAACATATGACTTAATTCTCAAAGTCTGTGCTCTCATTATGGACCAAAGGTCCTAGGGTCTGGGCTCTTACCCCCTAAGCTGCTCTACCCCCCACCACCATGGTCTAGGGCTAATGCACCTCCCCCTTCAGCTCCCATGCCTCATTCTCTCCACACCTGAGACACCTTGAAGACTATCAGTCTAATGGAAAGATGCAGGAGAGTGAGATCCTGGCCATAAAGACAGCAGAATTTGCTTCTAGGAGCCAAGAGGCTGAAGGAGGTTAGAGGAGAGTAGGGGAAAAAGGAAGAGGCAAATAACCAGATGCCTCTTATGTGAGCAGAGGAGGCTTAAGACCCGAGGACAGCAGGGTCCCGAGAGGCCAGACACAGACTCAAGCCTGCTGCTCTGGCCGCTCCCTGAACGGGTTCTCAGCCACACAGGCACTGGCGTTCAGTATACTAAGTGCGAAATGACCAGCAAAAACTCAAATTTCAAATTTTGATCTGTTGAGGTAAAAAATAAATTGATGCTAATTCTGAAAGGTCTCTGCGAACGGATATAAAAGGGTCTGCAGAACACCGTGTGAAATGTAATAAGCTGGATGCCGAACAAGCTTTTGTGTGAAGACAGACAGGGCGGGAAATAAGAATCTAGATTCCTATTTGCTTCCACAGGAATCAAGGAACTCTCGGAGGATACTTCCAAAACTAAAAACGTAACTTACTTATTTGGGAGAAGAGAACGGAACAGGTGGAAAAGGACAGGACCGGAGTGAGAACACTCACTGTAAGTCTTCTTATAATTTCTGGTTTTCAAATCATAGGACTTTATTACCCACTCAAATTTAAAAATATTTTAAAGAGATTATCTGAAATGATGGAGCTGGGTGATGCATTTTGAATGATAATATTTTCCTATATGTATGATCAATTCCAAATCCACGGATTTCCCTCAAACGTCCCCACTCCCTGGCGCTGTCTCTCCTAGTGTTCTGTTCGCTGCGGCAGCATCAGTGAGTGGGTGAGCGGCTTGGCGCCAGGACGATGGGAGTAGCTAGCAAGACGGACTTTCTTTGGGCTACTGGAAACTAGAACGCGAAGTTCAGGCTTGCTTTTCAGCACTCAGACGCAGTCATACTCCCGGACTACAGGCTCCTAAAAGGCCAGCTCTTCCGGCAGCAAGGGCCCACACAAGGAGCCCGTCTTCCTGACGAGCAGGAAGCAGATGTGGTAGGAGCACACAGCCCCAGGCATCACAGGCGCTCCTCCTCATGTAGGGAAAGCACTCCTGAACGGAACAGACCCACAAAATGTGGCCCTTCTCTTCTATGTGTGCGAATGCTCATGTGACACACATTTCTACAGGTGTGTGCACACCTATACACATATGCACAACCCATCTTGCAGACTTGTTTCTGCTTTGGGACTGGAGTCACGCTTTCTGACTTAATCACCTTTTGCTGAATTTCTCCCAAACTCGGTACCAGCGAACCTTGCTTAAAGCTCAACGTCAGCTACCTTCATAATTAATATGCTTTTATCGTAGAAAAGAGGAAACACCAAAAGTGAGTAAAAACATGCTAAGAAGGCTGAAGGCACCAAAGATAAACAGGCTTTTTTTTTTCTTTTTCTGTAGCGCTTACTGCTTACAAGGGTCAAGGGCAATGGCTAAAAAAAAGGCAGTACGTTCTTGCCCTATATGGCTGCATATAATGTGTAAGAAAGGGATTATTTTCCAGATCTTATATTAACTCAGGAGCGTAATAAAATATATTATTTAAAAATAAGATTTAAAGAGGACATTTAGGGGCTCCTGGGTGGCTCAGTCAGTTAAGCATCCAACTCGATTTTGGCTCCAGTCATGACCTCATGGTCATGGAACTGAGCCCCGGGTGGGGCTCCGCACTGAGTGGGGAGCCTGCTTGGCCTTTCTCCCTCTCTTTCTGCCCCTTCCCCTTTCACAAGCACACGAGCAATCAATATTTAAAAAAAAAAAAAAGTGGACATTCAGATACGTACGATACAGCTGATCCTCAAACAGTGCAGGGGTTAGGGGCACTGACCCCTGTGCACTCAAAAATCCACATAGAACTTCAGACTCCCCAGAACTGTAACCACTAATCGCCTAGTGTTAACCAGAAACCTATGTATTACATCAACAGTCTATTAACGCTTATTTTGTATGTTATATGTATTACATAGCATATTTTCACAATAAAACTAGAGCAAAGAAAAGGTTATTAAAATCATCAGGAGAAAAAGATACATCTGTAGTACTGGACCGCACTTACAAACTGCACTTTGAACCCACACTGTTCAAATCTGTGCTATTCAAGGGTCACCTGTACTCCCCGCCTCTGAGGGATGATGCTGGGTGGGACTGATTAAGTAGCACTTCTTTCTACCTGAGGGGAGGACGGCTCCAGCAGCTTGGACAAGTTGGAGAGAACAGTGACCAGTAGGAGGGCTTCTCTGCCATTAAAGTCTTCCTCTTGGCCGCTCAGTAAATTCAACAAGGACCTCTGGGAAAGGAAAGCACCGGGGAAAAATCAGCAGATATGTTCCTGTCATGGAGAAGAGGCCTCTGGCCAGAGATCCCTAAGGCTGGGGCAGAAAGGACTCCAAGTCACCAACATTCCAGGAGGACAAAACCTGAAAATAAACATGGGTCACACAAGTAGCTTCCTGCCCTGCTCTCGACCACGAATCCAAGGGTTCTCCTGAAAACTATGGACTCCTTCTCGTCTAAGCCCCTGCCAAATGTACACCAGGAACGAACAGCGCACCCAACTTTGGGTGGTTCATAACTTCGGAGGCCTGCCCACCGGCCTCAGGTTCAGACCTCGGCCCAAGCCCAGCACTCCACACACAGCTTCCTGGCTTCCCCTGCCCTGGTCCTTTCTTACCACCTGAAATACTCTCCGTTTTGTCTTTCCTCACTCAGCGTCAGCTCCCCAAGGGGAGGGGTTTTGTTTGTGTCCTGCTATATCCCCAGCACCTGGAACAGTCCCAGCACAGAGCAGGAACTTGAACACCGCGACAATTACTGGTTAGAAGCTAAGGCTTCGATGTCCGGGCTTTATGCAATCCGACAGAGCCAGACTGTACCATGGACACAAATCAAAGACATAAACTCTCTACCTCAACAGGCTCTCCTCACGTCACCTCTAACAGTGATTCTCGGAGGCATCCCATGCTACAGGCCGGGGTGGCTTAACATCCGTCCTCCCCAGCATCCTCTGGAGCGCATGACCTTCCACTCAGTAGAGCTATATGCCCTGTTGCCTGGATGGTGACCCAGAAGAAATCACGTGCTCCTTGCCCGCCGTCTGCCCGTCGCCCCAGCCGGCTCAGCTAACGGTCCCCCCGGGGCCCTCAGGCAGGCAGGGCAGCCTGCCGGGCTGCTCACCTGGAACTGCCGGATCTGGAACGCTGCTCTGTGAGTGACACTGCCTCCCCCCTCCTCTCCGTCGTCATCTGTGGCATCTAGGAAAAGAACGCATCTCTCTCAAATGGACTTACTACTATGCTTTTTTTGGCCTTTTAATAGGAAGTTGAAGTTTTAGAAAGCCAAATAAATAAGTCTGGGGGCAGACTTAAATATATTCCTAACATTCTGCCATTTGTTAATTCTTTCAATTTCCAGTCACTATTTGTGGTTCTGTGCAAAATCCAGTAAATGCCAATTCTGAATCCACTAGATGTCACTCTGTAGCCACCTTAGACCTGCTCTCAGGTGTCCTCTGGTAGATTAACAAACAGAATCAAGAGGCTTGGTTAAGAAAGAGAAACCCAGATCAAGTCCATTAATCAAAACTGAAATGCCCACCTAGAGCCCTGAGGAAGTGCTGAATCCTGGGCTCAAAGAACTGCTGCACAGCACTGAATATCTTCTGTAGGCCCTCCAAGCACAGCAGGGAGATGCTCTTTCCTTTCTCTTTCTTTCCCGAATCTTCCACGGAAGTAGGAATGGAAGTGTATCTCCAAATTAAGACCCTGAGAATAAGAAAAGTGATTTTATTAGTGTCAGGTTCACTGAGGTAAATTTATATACTGCAAAATTTACATGCCATACATGTTACAGTTCAATGAATTTTAACAAACCTCTATAGTTGTGTAATCATCCCCACAATCAAGATATTTTCATCTCCCAGAAGTTTCCCCAGTCTCCTCTGTAAGTCAGTCCTCTCCTGACTTTCCAAGCACTGATTTGATTCCTATCCCTATGGTTTTGCTATTTACAAAACAACATATAAAAACATAAAAAGTGGCATTCACAGGTAGCTTCCTAGCTCTCTCAATTTAACGTATACTTCCTGCGATTCAGCTATGTTGCCATGTAGTTTGGAATTTTTTGTGTAGACAATTATATCATCCTTAAAGACACTGTTATTTCTTCCTTCCCAACCTGGATGCCTTTGATTTCTTTTTCCTGCCTCACTGCACTGGCGAGGCCCTCCAGTGTGATGCTGAATAGCAGTGGTGAGAGCATGGGGAGGGGGTAGGAAGCATTCGGTTCTTAGTCATTAATTATGGTATTGATTGTAGGTTTTGTGGATTCCCTTTATCAGACTGTTAAAGTTCTCTTTTATTCCTAGTTTGCTCAGAGATTTTATCATGAATACGTGTTTAATTTTCTGGATCTATTGAGACGATTATATAATGTTTTCTTTCCTTTAGTCTCTTGATAATGATGAGAACCGTAATGAGTGATAACAAATTTTTTTACAAAGTTTATTCATTTATTTCGGGAGCACGCATAAGTGGGGGAGGGGAAGAGGGACAGAGAATCTCATTCAGGCTCTGTGTTGTCAGGGGACAGGGTTTGGGGCTCAAACTTACAAACTGAGATCATAACCTAAGCTAAAATCAAATGCCAGATTTTTTTTTAATGTTTATTTACTTTTGAGAGAGACAGAGCATGCGTGGGGGAGGGGCAGAGAGAGAGGGAGACACAGAATCTGAAGCCGGCTACAGGCTCCGAGCTGTCAGTGCAGAGCCTGACGCAGGGCTCGACCCATGAACTGTGAGACCATGACCTGAGCTGAAGTTGAACACTCAACTGACTGAGCCACCCAGGCGCTCCTCCAGAGCCAGATGTTTAACCGAACGAACCACCCAGGTGCCCCCTGATTTACAAATTTTGAGCCAACTTTGCATTACTGAGAAAAATTCTCCTTAATTACATCATACTTCTTACAAATTGCTAGGCTTAATTTGCTACTATTTTTTACATCTACATTCATATGGGAAATTGGTCAACAGTTTTTTTTTTTTTTTTTTTTTTATGTTTTATTTATTTCTAGGAGAGAGAGAGAGAGACACAGCATGAGCAGGGGAGGGTCAGAGAAAGAGGGAGTCACAGACTGAAACAAGCTCCAGGCTCTGAGCTGGCAGTCAGCACCGAGCCCGACGCGGGGCCTGAACCTATGAACCACGAGATCATGACCTAAGCGAAAGTCAGACGCTTAACTGACTAAGCCACCCAGGCGCCCCTGGTCAGTAGTTTTCTTATCCTGTCTGGCTGAGTTTGGGATTAGGTAATGCTGGCTTCATAAAATAAATCAGGACATATTTATTCTCTCCTATTTTCTGAAAGAGTTTGCATAAATTGGCACTATTTCTTTCTTAAATGTTTGGTAGAATTCACCAGTAAAGGCATCATGCAGTTTTGAGGGTAAATTGTGAACCACAAATTCAGTTTTTCTTTTAAAGATTTTATTTTTAAGTAATCTCTGTCCTCAATGTGGGGCTCGAACTCACAACCCCCAGATCAAGACTCCCATGCTCTTCCGACTGAGCCAGATACCCCTCAATTTCTTTTCTTGGGTAAAGTTGATCTATTTATTTAGAGAGAAAGAGCAGGTGAGAGAGTGCGCACAAGCACAAGGGGGGGGGGGGGGGGAGGAAGAGGAAGAGGAAGAGGAAGAGGAAGAGGAAGAGAAAGAGAGAGAAAGAGAGAAAGAGAGAGAGAGAGAATGAGAATATCCCAGAAAGGCTCCTCGCTGACAGCGAGGACTTACACTGACTAACCATGAGACCATGACCTCAATCAAGAATCAGATGCTTAACCAACCAGGTGCCTCAATTTCTTTAATAGTCACAGGATTATTCAAGTTACCTATTTCTTCCTGATTTCAAAAGATTTGTTCGTTTCATTTATGTAATCCAGTCTCCTGGCATAAAATTGTTAGCCTTCTACCATCATACATGTTTCCTGTCTGCAGAATCAGCAGTGATCATCTCCTGTTTCTATCTGGTAGCTGTGATTTATGTCTTCTCGGGTCTCCTCACCAGGCTAGCTAAGATTTACTGCATTTACTGATCTCAGAGATTCAGCTTCTGGCTTCATCCCTTTTCTCTATGATTTGTTTCTGTTTTCAATGATTCTACTTTGTCTTTATTACTTCCTTCCTTCTTCCACTTTTATCTTTTTCTTTATTTTAACATGGGATCTTAGAGATTTGCTATTTCTTTCCTAACATAACCACTGACTGTTACAAGTTTCTACCTAAACACTGCTTTAGCTGGATCATACAAATTATAAAATGTAGTGTGTTCATTTTCATTCTGTCCAAGACATTTTCTGATTTCTGACTTCCTCTCTGAGTATGGATTATTCAGAAATGCATTAAATTTCCAAATATATAAGGATAATCCAGTCATTTTTAAAAAATTAAAAAAATATTTGTTACCAGTTCCTTGTTTAATTCTGTTACGCGCAGAGAACATACAGATTTCTATTTTAAAAATTTGTTCAGTTTGTTTTATGGCCCAAAATGTGGTCCACTTTGATAAATATACCATGTGCACATGAAAAGAATGTGCATTTTGAAACTGTCATTAAATATTACATAAATACCCAATAAGTCAAGCTGGATGATCATGTGGCTCAAGGCTTCTATGTCCTTCCTGATTTTCTACCTACTGAATTTTCCAATGATTTCTAAGAGGGGATGAATTACTTGCTTATTTCTCCTGCAGTTCTATCAGTTTTTGCTTAAAGAATTTTGGTGCTTTGCTGTTAGGTACATATACATTAAGGTTGTTATGCCAACCTGGTCAGTTATTTAGTCATTACATAACATCCCTCTTTGTCCCTAGTGTCAGAAGAACATTTTCTATGTAACTAACATTCCACATCAAAGCAGGACTAGAAAAAGACTATTAGCGATTCCACTTTCACTCTTATGGTACGTCCAACATCAAACTGGCTTCATCCCCGCCCTCCAGTTTCTGCTCTCGGAGATTCCACAGCAAGTGGAACAGGTTTCTGAGGGTGAGAGTGACTTACCGAGTTATATCGCAGAGGTTCTGGAAGATCTTCTCTGGGTTTTGGCCATCGGGGCCACGCACATGCCCCGTTTCCTTTAGCTGCTGTACCTTTTGCAGAGCCACACTCACTGCGTAGCGCATAAACTCATTGTTGGACCTTAGAACTGACAGGCTCTCTTCGTGACTCTGGGCACTGTCCCTAGAGAGAGAGAAAAACAGATTTCTCTACTGCTATTGGGATCTAGAATTAGGTTCTCTAGGGACTATTCAGAAGAGCAGGACCTGGAAAGTTCTTACTGACAGACCCCAGGCCGTCCAGGCCACAGCTGCCTTTTTACAACCTTCGTTCTTAGTGTTACCTTATCTTCTCCCCTCCCCCAATCTCTTCACTTTGATATAATTTTAATGTCAGTCTTAGGGGCGCCTGGGTGGCTCAGTCGGTTAAGCATCAGACTTTGGCTCAGGTCATGATCTCACGGTTCGTGGGTTCAAGCCCCGCGTTGGGCTCTGTGCTGACAGCTCAGAGCCTGGAGCCTGCTTCAGAGTCTGTGTCTCCCTCTCTCTCTGCCCCTCCCCTGCTCATGCTGTCTCTCTCTCCCTCAGAAATAAATTTAAAAAAATAATAATACATTAAAAAAAAAAGTCCGTCTTAGTTTCCTTTGTTGCTGTTGTTCTTACTTTGTTTTTTCAATTAAGGTTTTTCTTTTTTCTCTTTTTATCTGTTATACTGCTCAAGCTACTTAGGTAGATTTCCCTACAATACCTTACTATAATCTATCCCTTACTTTTGTTCAATAGTTCACTGTTTCTCAGTTTTCCTTAAATAATTTAAGGTATCCTTTAAAGTGCCCACCTAGAAGCATCCAGCTTTCATATCACAGAACTTACAAAAAGCTCCCGACTTATTTCTTACTGTATACACGCGAAGAACTGTGAATCCGAACTAGCTAATACTGGTGAGCCTGGGCAGCTGCTCCTATCTGCACTGCACAGACATCCGTAAGCACTCTGCTACCACCTTACCTGAAAAGAGCAGTGAGAAGATCAGACACAAATTTCATGGACAAAAAACTATCATTTGTTTTGTTGGCCGTTTTAGTTTTGCCTTTGCCAGCCTTTTCGTTAAGGATGTCAGAGAGTTTCTTGTAACACATAAATAAGCTCAGAACCTCCGCAAGCTTATTCTTACTGCATAAAGGGAAAAAGAGACCACGAAGGAAAAGCATCAGAATACTGTGGTTTACTTTCACACCCAATAATAAGGAAATCACAATGTTTCTTTAGGGATTCTAGATGTTAGATTTTAAACACATTATAAATGAATGAACTTGCATTAAGTTCAGATCACTCTAATCCACCTGTGTTATTTTTTTCTCTTATTTATACCAGTCAATGCAGAAAGTGGTATTCAAAGTCCAATACCACCAAACCATCAAAATTTCTTTATTGAAGTTAGAACTTGAGTTTAGGGTCTGGAAATTTTGGATAAATGGAAGGCTGCTAGAAGGACAACATTCCCCAGCCCCTGTGGCTTATGTTTTGGTGTTCTCTGTCTCAGGCTAGATGTTCACCTGAGAGACAGTGTCATGGCATTTGGTCTGTTAGTACCCAGCATGCTATTAAGAGTTAAAAAAACAAAAAACCAAAATCATAAAATAGAGTATTCATCAAAATGCAAGGGGAGTTGTACATATTGGTACCTTACCTAAAATTACTTATGGAGAAGTTATATTCTATGAGAACCTCACAAACCCCCATCACAAGAGAAGCACAGATATTATTTTTGATGCCAACACCAGTGTTCTGAGAAAAATCTGCTGATTTATCCTAAAAGGCAAAAGATAAAATTAATAAGCTATCAAGGCACCTGACTGGCTCAGCTGGGGGAGCATGCAACTCTTGATCTCAGGGTTGTAAGTTTAAGCCCCATGCTGGGTGCAGAGATTACTTAAAAATAAAATCTAAAAAAAAAAACCAAAAAACAGTAAGCGGGGCGCCTGGGCGGCTCAGTTGGTTAAGCGTCCAACTCTTGATTTCAGCTCAGGTCATGATCTCATGGTCTGTGGGACTGAGGCCTGAGTCAGGCTCTGCGCTGACAGTGCAGAGCCTGGTTGGGATTCGCGCTCTCCTTCTCTCCCTGCCTCTCCCCTGCTTGTGTGTTCTCTCTCAAACTTAAAAAAATTAATAAGCTATTCAAAAGCCCCCATGTTCAACAGAGCTGAGACTCAGCCGTTACCAGTTCAAAGTCCTCTAGCTCACTCTTGATCGTTCTGGTCGTAATGGACTCCAGCAGGTCCTCCAGTTCTCGGTAGACCCCTTCCTCCTCCTCCTCCTCCTCCTCCTCCTCCTCCCCCCGCCGTAGGGGCACCACTCTCTTCCTACACCAGGCCAGACAGTGCTGGACACAACACAGCAGATAATCCTGTAGAAGAAAAGAGTAAACATTGCTGAGTGTTTAAGGGATAACCAAGGAGGCCACTGATAATTGTAACCTATAAGGCTAAAGTAAGTTATTCATTAGCGTCACAGATTAAATCAGCCTGAATTAAACCTGGAAAAAATTAATTGAACCAACAAAGGTATTTTTGCATTCTTCCCTGATCTTTTCCCTAAACTGGCTTTGTAAGTAGCAGGCACCTCAGAATGCAACAGCAGAACGTGCTGTTACCGATCTAGTGGGAACACCATGAAGCCCGCTGTGAAGTTAAATCCTCTCTGGCTACTGAGTCCCAGAGGCTGTTCTGACGACAGGAGCTGATGATGAGGGAGTCGCTGGGAGACCAGCAGGGCACCTCCATCTCGCGGCACGGAAGGCCCACTGATGCAGGCAGGGTCCGACAACGGAAACACCACCTCCTCCTCCCTCACGCGCTCTAAGCTGCTTGGGGTGGTGGAGCGTCAGTTTTTATCTTCTTTTTCCTGTCTTCCTGAGGCTGGACAGCAAGAACTGTCCTAGTTCCCCTGAGGGTTCAAGAGTGCCAATTCTAGCTCAGCCTAAATCATATACTCCCTCCAGGCTAATGAAGCAGGTCTCCTGGGTTCATCTGCTACTGAGTGACCCCCCCTTCCCCATTTCAAAGTATGTTTAGTATATTATATAGTCAAAGAGGCACAAATGGGAAATGAAATGCTCCTTGGGGGAGGTAATGGAGACCCTGATTTTGTAAACTGTGGACATGGAGATAGCTTACCAATAGATCCAAGGTTATGATGGGTCAGAAAAGATAAGGAGGGAAGATTTAAGAGTAAAAGTTCATTGGGAGTACCGGAAGAGTGCTTTCAGGAAAGGCATCTCTTCCTGAAGACGGACTCTTATCAACAGGGTTGATTCTTTTACTTAACAGTGAAAATAATGGTTATAAGAGGAATAAAAGTCTCACCAGTGGTTCTTGTAGACAGATTCGATCTCCCTGGATTAAAATACAAGCTTCTAATTTCAGAGGCGGCAGCACATCAGGTTTTGGCTCATAGAACTGTTTTAACTGTGTATGGTAAGGAAGAAGACACACATGGCTCATGAATGCTTTTCACTTCTTTACTTGGTCAAACTAATGACACCCTTAATGTCCAATGCCTCCTAAGACCTATTTCCCAAGTGTCCAAAGAACAACGCAGCAAAATATGTGTGGCTTTGGCTCAACTCATGCTTTACCCTTGCTTTAGGCATCATATTGAGATCTTCTTTCCTACTCCATTTCTACTAACTCTCACATAAAACATGGTGCTCTCTCTCTCACATCAACTCCTAAACCTGCGTAAGCGATCAGCCTTTCTCGTATAGCTGATAGTTAACAATGTATAAATAAGCTCGGGTCAGAATGGCTGAGTCCAGGTCCCAGTACGACTCAGAGGTTAATAATTTTGGTGATGGCGTCCGCATCCGTATCTTCCTCATCTGTGTTGAAATATTCTTACTATAAACACATAAGGCTGTATAAGAATTAAACATGCCAATACATGTGAAGTGCTAAAAACACTACTTAGCACATAATAGAGATCAAGAAACGTTAGCTATTCTTTTTCTTTTTACTTTGAGTCTGCATAGTTTTACTGGGACACATACTAACCTGAGTTGGGAAGCACTGTTCTATACCTTCAATCACAATTTTCTATGATGTTAAGTGTATGAATCTTGATGGGCTGATTATTACAGTTTGAAAGATACACTATAGTTAAAAGGATACAAATTTTATATAGGATCAGGCTTGAGGCCCAATGGAAATCTTTTGATAAATATTATAGGGACCTTCTAATAATTTCTACACAGCTGAGATCTCAACTGCAAATGGAGCTTCTTCAGAATTTTAACAAAGCAATGGCATACAAAAGTAGGGGAGACAGGCAGAAAAAGAGGGAAAACTTTCTTCTTAGTCCAGTGGTGAACACGAAAAAACTGCTACCTCCAACCTGGAGTGGTTTGCTTCCTTCTTTTTCTTCATTCATTCATTCATTCATTCATTCATTCATTTTGAGAGAGAGAGCGAGCGAGCGAGCACAGACGTACATGGGAGAGGGGCAGTAGAGAGGGAGAGAGAGAATTCCAGGCAGGCTCTGCGTGGTTAGCAAAGAGCCCGACACAGGGCTTGATCCCACGAACCGCTAGATCACGACCTGAGCTGAAATCAAGAGTTGGACACTCAATGGAATGAGCCCCCAGGCGCCTAGGCTGCCTCTTTCTTTGGTCTCTCCCTGCCCTCTGAGTATGAGGACCCGTTTCCAATTATACCACCTGGGAAGCTTCGAGAAGGTTACAAACCAAGAAACTCTCAATATATAAAAAAGATTCAAGCACCATATAATAAAGTATTACTTCACTTTAAAAGGGACTGAAGTACTGATAAATGCTACAACATGGATAAACTGAAAACATTCCTTGAAAGCCATCAGTCACAAAAGACCACATGTTGTACGATTCCACTTATATGAAATGTCCACAACAAACAAATCTAGAAAGACAGAGAGTAGATCAGTGGTTGCTTAGGGCCTAGGTGGGTGGGAGAAGAGTGAGAAAATTAGGGGGTGTTAGCTAAAGGGTGCGGGGCTTTCTGGTGATGAAAAGAATATTCTAAAATCAACTGTGGTGCTGGCTGCACAACTCTATGAATACACTAAAAAACATGTGTTGTACACTTAATTTTCTTTTTTTCTTCATGTAGGGCTCCATGCTCGGCATGGAGCCCAACATGGGGCCACAACTCACAACCCTGAGGTCAAGATCTGAGCTGAGATCAAGAGCTAGATGCTCAACTGACTGAGCCACCCAGGTGCCCCAAGTTGTACACTTTAAATAGGTAAACTGTATGGTATGTGAATTATATCTCAACAAAAGTATTTTTAAAAAAGATTCAAATAATGCTTAATGAATAAATGTTGAGGGTAAAAGTTCTTATTTATGCCAGATATTCTCTAGCTAAACTCTTCACAGCGATCATCCTCTGAAATCTTTTTTTTGAAGTAGTTTAAAAATCTTTCCTTAAACAAAAGTACAGAAGATAACCTAATAGACACCCATGCATCTGTAACCTAGATTTAACACATCCATATTTTGCTTTAATTGTTTCAGATCTCTCCTTTCTTTTAGAAGTAAAACAAACAGATCCAGCTGCTAATAGCCCTTATGTAAATGGTTCTTTAAAATGTCCTTCTGACTTAAGAGTACAGACTATTACCAGAGAGAGTAACTGTTAAGATATGGCAAAATGGGAGGCAGGTAAGTGGGAATTAAAACATCAGGACAGCATCATATGCCCCAGGCATGTTCATAATGCACCAGTGTACGATCTGGGAATTATTTTATATTTTGAAAAGTCTGAAAAGTGTCAATCATTCTCCATGTCTCACTATCTGTTCTCTATATCCATAAAAATATAAAATAAAAAAAGAGATTACCTGTACAAGTAGAGTCTGCATGATTGAATTAGCCAGCTGAGAGTTCCTTCGAAGGACATCATAGAAACCCTAAGAGGAATCAAATAGAGAATAAGCTCTTTAACAGATACACTAAGTTATAATTTTACTTTTTTAAAAATTTTCTTATTTACTTTGAGAGCACGAGAGAGGGAGCATGGGTCACTGCAAGCATAGACCAGCAGGGAAGGGGTAGATGGAAAGAAAGAGAGACAATACCAGGTAGGCTCTAGGCCCAGTGTAGAGCCTGACACAGGGTTCCATCTCACAGTGTGAGATCATGACCTGAGGTGAAATCAAGAGTGGCACGCTTAACCAACCAAGCCACCCAGGTGCCCCTGGGCAATCATGACTTTAAACATTAAAAAAAATTTTTTTTAAATTTATTTTTAAATTTTCAAATGTTTGTTTATTTGAGAGAGAGAGCAAGTATGTGAGCAGGGGAGGGACAGAGAGAGTGGGAGTCACAGAATTCAAACTAGGCTCCGGGCTCTGAGCTGTCAGCACAGAGCCCAACACGGGGCTCGAACTCACGAACCGTGAGATTATGACCTGAGTTGAAGTTGACACTTAACCAAATTGAGCCAACCAGGAGCCACCCCGCCCCCCAATTTTTTTTAACCATTGCTATTTCTTAATTCTTTGAAAAAGATTGAGACCATATTTGCTAGAGGGAGAAATGATTTAGAAAGTTTGGGTTATTTGTCTAAAAAGAGCTAAAAAGAGATCTTTGATCACTGAGAACCAGATTAATAAACTGACCACAATCATCCTAATTTTTAAACAGGTCATTTCTGGCTTGGAGTACTTTGCTCCTTTACAGTCAAGAACGTCCCAGGTCTTCTTCATTCTTTTCTCTCCTACATTAAAAGCATTCCTTTTTAGGACATTATTTCCATTTACTTTCCAGTGCTTCAAAAGTGTCTCTTGGCCCTAAGCACCCTAAAGTAAATGAATAATATTTCTTCCCATCCAACATTTCCCAGTCATAGTTAAAAACTACATAAGTTAAAATCCTAGTGGTAGGCATGTTGGGGAGGGGTGCCTAAGAGGCTCAGTTAAGCAGACTCGATTTCAGCTCAGGTCATAATCTCATGGTTCGTGGGAATGGACTCTGCAGTGGGTTCTGCCCTGACACGGCGGAGCCTGCCCGGGACTCTCTCTCTGCCCCTCCCCAGCTCTCGCACGTGCTCTCTCTCAAAATAAATAAATAACTTAAAAAAAAAAAAAATTAAATCCTGGGGAGAACTTTCTTTTTGGAACTGAGAAAAAGACTGTACAGTTCATCTGTGAGAAAAAGTGAGAGTTGACCCCCTAAATGTTTTTTTAAAGAAAAGACACACAAGGAATATTAGCCTTAACAAGTATTAAATTAAAAAAAATTTTTTTTAATGTTTTATTTATTTCTGAGAAGAGAGAGAGAGAGACAGAGTGAGCAGAGGAGAGTCAGAGAGAGAGGGAGACACAGAATCCGAGGCAGGCTCCAGGCTCTGAGCTGTCAGCACAGAGCTTGACTCGGAGCTCGAACTCACAAACTGAGATCCTGACCTGAGCCGAAGTCAGATGCTTAACCAACGGAGTCACCCAGGCGCCCTAACAAGTATTAAATTTTTAAATAAACGTATAATGTAAGAGACACCTGAGGTCCTGGTATAAAAATTTACAGATGAAATCAAGAAATAGCATACAAACAGAAATCGACTTAGTACGTATACAGAAGGCAATAATGTCTGGACCTATGGTTAACATGGAGGAAAAAGTTAGCTCCTTCCATAGTATAGCAAACCAAAGTTCTGACGGACTAAGCATCTAAATATAAAAAACAAAATCATAAAAAGAAATAGAAGAAAATATTAGCGAATATTTATTGGAAGGATATGGATTCTTCACACATAAAATATCTTAACAGAAAAGATCAACAGGTTTAAACAATCAAAACTTAGTATTTTTGTAGTTCTAAAGGTAGGACCATCATCATCATGCCAACAGCCATCTGGCACATACCTGCAACAAGTATGACCAGTGTAGATACCAACACACAGAGTGTTTACAAACCGAGGATGTGACGTCTTTAATGAATCAATGAACACAGATCAGTCTATGATCCATATCAAGTCAAGTTGTAAACTCTGGAGCTAGGTAAGGGCAGAGGTTCTTTTTTGCATATGGAGGACTGCAGGGAAGAGTTAACACAGTAGGTGCGACTGTCATCCTGAGGAAAGCCTGCTTGCAAGACTGCCCCTTGATGGGTGGCTGGGAATCTGGCTGGTACACAGTCCTCTATATCGATAAAAAGCCTTCCCTAAATGATAGAAATTTACTGTGTGTAAACTGTACACTGTGGTTTATGCTGAATATTTTGACTTTCTTCTGGGAGTCTGGAATTTGGGGATGTGCTAATAAAAGCGCCTATGTAAACCAGCCCTCAGTAAAAATCTTGGGCACTGAATCTCTAATAAGCTTCCTTTACTGAAGAATTGTCATCTACTGATGTACTGACACAACTCATTTGCGGAAGGAATTAAGTGCATACTGTGCAATCCCAGCTGAAGAGGAGTCTTAGAAGCTTGCACCTGGTTTCTTCCCGACTTCACCCTATGTGTAACTTGCTTCTGCCGATGTAGCTTTGTATCCTTTAACTGTAATATAGTTGGCCATGAGAATTAATACATGCTGAGTTCAGAAGTCCTTGTAGAGAAATCTTTAAACATGGGGGTGGTTCTGGGAATCCTCTCCAATACAATAAACAACTGGTTCCAGTATAGTTTATTGAAAAGATCATCTTTTTTCTACTGAATTACCTTGGGATCTTGGTCAAAAATCCACTGAGCAACTTCATACTTTTTCAATGGTCTTGGTACTTCTAGGTGCTTTTCATTTTATTTATTTATTTTTAAATGTTTCTTTATTGGGGGAAGGAGGGGGAGGAAGAGAGTGCACACAAGCACGAAGAGAATCCCAAGGAGGCTCCAAACCACCAGTGCAGAGCCTGACACAGGGCTTGAACTCATGAACTGTGACATCATGATCTGAGCCAAAATCAAGAGTTAGACACCCAACTGACAGCCACCCAGGCGCCCCTAGGTCCTTTACATTTTAAAATTAACTTCATTTTTACCCCCAAATCCCTGGAATTTCCGTTGGGACTACACTGAATCTACAGACTTTTTTGAGACTAAAATTAGTAACAATACTATACTATACCAAGCATTTCAATTCATAAACATGGCACATCCTTCCATTTATTTACCTTTTCTTCTTTAATTTTCTCTCAGTGATATTTTGAGGTGTTCAGTGCACACATCTTATAAATTTTGTTAAACCTATCCTTAAGTGTTTTATTTTTATCTACCATAAATATTTTTCTTTTGATTTCCAATTGTTCATTGCTAGTATAAAATTGATTTTAGCATCCCACCTTACGAAACTCACTTTTTTATAGATTCTTTGCTGTCTGCATACACTGCAAATCAAGAGAGCCACATTTCATCCTTTCAAATCTGTATGCCTTTATTTTTGTTTTATTGGATAGAACCGTCACTATAATGCTGAATAGAAACATTAACAAATTATCTTTGTTCCTGATTATAGGGAAAAGCATTTAGTCTTTCACTATTTATGTCAGATGCAAGTTTCAGATCTGTTTATCAGGTGCAGACATTCCCCCCCCCCCCTTTTTTTTTAATGTTTATTTATTTGAGAGTATGTGCGTGGATGTGCACGTGAGCAAGGGAGGGCTGGAGAAAGAATCCCAAGCAGGCTCCACACTGTCAGCAGAGCCCGTTGTGGGGCTTGAACCCATGAACTGTGAGATCATGACCTGAGCCAAAATCAAGAGTTGGATACCCAACCGAGCCACCCAGGCGTGCCTCAAATATTCTTTATGATTCTTCACCTTAACTTTTTGGCTAGCCATCACAAACTACTAATCCCAAGTGCATCAAGTAAAAGTAAACTGCACTTTTACAATCAGAAAAAACTTAATAAAAAGGATTATCAATTGGGGGTTGGTGCATTCCTTCCACTCTGATTTACCTCATAAAGCATGAGTCGAACATCAGCCTGCTGGCCTAAGCATCTCCTCAAACTGTCCATGATCTCAAGGCAAAAAGTTTCATTGGCAACAGAATTGTAACGGCTGTGAACATCCACATGGACCTGAAAGGAAGAGAGCCCGGTTTTTGTCTATTTTACCAAATTAATTTTCGTAAAGGGGGTAAAATGAGCCTATGTTTTTGGGCAAAGAAACTTAGACTTAGCTTTCCCCATATGCAAAAACCTAGGACTGAGGCAGACATAATCATCAGTAGACTGTGGTGTCACTCTTATTCTAGTTTGGAGTAAGAATTTTCAAGCATTTCAACAAAATTAACTCTTCTCTATCCCTTAAGGTCTTCCTTGGCAATGTCAGCTGCTTAGGAAGGCACACAGGTCATTCCACCACCAGAATCCAGTAGTCATAATAAACTTGATTATACTTAAAAGGCCTAAAATGCCTCCTTAAATGTCTTCAGTAGCTAGCAGAACCTAGCTCTTTCTGCTTCCACAAAATCCTGAGTTTCACAGGTAGGTAATGTTTAGTTTAGAAATGGATAAGACAAAGAATAACAGCCCTTGTTTAACATAATAAATCCAGCAACTAAAGACCAAGCCCCCTAACTCTTACTCCAGGCATCTCAGTGAGGTGGTGAATACTGACGGATCAAATCCCCACTCTGTTCTTCACTGCTTCTATCACATTGGGCAAATCATTTAACGTTCCTCAGCCTTAGTCTTCTTATCCTTAAGACGTGGACGATTTTAACAATACACTAATGACACCCAGTGTTCCTAATATTTAGTCTGATCCATGTGTTATGAATAAACGTTTTATATAATTACACTAGAGACATGAAGGATTCCTAATAAAACTGTTTCATTCATTTGTTATTTACAAATCATGTAGTACATAATTTAAATCATAAAAACAATTTTATTGCTCCAAAGTCTAGATTACCAAAATGCTGTAAAAAGTTTTATTTTCTCAGATCGTCAGGCTGTGCAAAGTAAATTAACTATCAAAAATGGGGATAACAATAGCATCTAGACTCAGAGGGTTACCAGGAAGATGAAATGACATAACAAATATAAAGCACTCAGCACAGCATCTAAAACTTTCTAGTAGTCAAAATCAGAAAGTAAAAAGAAGTTGGTGAAATTAATTTTAACATTTAACCAAATATATCAAAAATATTTCAACATGCAATCAAAATTAAAAACAAATAATGAGCCATTTTCCCTTTCTTCAACTAAGTCTTCAAAATGCAGCATACGTTTTGCACACACAGCACGACTCAGTTTGGCCAGCCGCCCTTCAATCACGCGTGCAGTTCAACAGCCACACGAGGCTGGCGGCTACCGCGGTGGAGAGCGCTGTCTAGCACACAGCAAGCCATCATCAGTAGGTGTTAGCTCATCCCACCGCCGTCATCATCAGACTCTGCTTCAGGGTCATCTGTACAACCAGCGCAGGAGGGAGACAGGGCAGCGCGCACAGTCCTTACCTGGCTGGCCCCAATGGACTGACTGCACTGGGAGGAGGACAAGCTGCCCAAAACCTTGAAGTTCTTCAGGAGCAGCAAAAACCCGGCAACTGCGGATTTCCGGGCCTCGAGCTGGCTAGCTCAGGAACAGACAGAGAAATCATTAACAAACAATACTACGTTCTCAGGAATAGGCTTCTGGGCCAGAAAAATCCAGTCCAGTTACAGAGAAGGAATATGAAGAAATAATGAAGCACAAAACAAAATAAAATAAATTTATATACTCAAAATAAAACATCAGCTGTTCACAGCAGTCAGCGGTAGAGGAACCCAGCTGATTTCTTTTCACTAGCTAGTTAACTTCATGACACTATCTATACTGTCTTCTGTGTGGGGACCAAGAGTACTGAGAAGTTATAGAATGGGCCAATAACTCGAATGTAAGTACTAACAGGCAAGGAAACTTGATTTTCTGTGTCCGAAGGACTACTTCTCTTCTTCGTAGAGGAGTATAGTGCTTGAGGCCTTGTAAACCTTCCACCCAGAAAAATGATACATTCATCTCACTGAGGCTCAATGATTAATTCACGGGGGAGATGTTAAGACATACAGACCTTGGTCTAACAGACATGTCTCTGGGTAAGGGAAAACAAAAAACCGTCAACTCTAGAAGAGGGATAATAATATATACTTACTGGTTGTTCCTGTGTATACACACAAGTGCATTATAGTATAGCCAATGTGACATTAATTAAGCATCTTAAGGGCACCTGGGTGGCTCAGTCGATTAAGCATCTGACTTCAGCTCAGGTCATGATCTCACAGTTCATGAGATTGAGCCCCATGTTGGGGCTCTGTGCCAACAGCTCAGAACCTAGAGCCTGCTTCGTATTCTGTGTCTCCCTCTCCCTCTCTCTGCCACTCCCTCATTGGTGCTCTGTCTCTCTCAAAAATAAGTAAACATTTAAAGAAAAATTGAGCATCTTAAAGTACCCAATGTTTTCCACCTATTACTGGTCCCATAATACTTTTTGGGAGGTGGTATTGTCATCTTTAGCTTATACACTAAGAAATAAAGGAAGAGAGATCAGAAGGCATTGACTAGGCCCAAAACACCTGAGACCGCTTAACAATTTGGTCTACAGTTATTAGACCATAATTCAGTATTCACTAGAGTGAGTTTCTTGAATATTTTCTTAATGAAGGTGTTTTCCTCTCCAGAACTCTTGCCAGTGGGCACTGGCACCGTGTCCTGAGGATTATTCTAGGGGTGTAGAGCAGAGTACGTGAGAGCAGAAGCTCGAATTCCAGCTCTACCAACCTCTGTTTGACTTCTGCAAAGTCACTTATCTTCTCTAAGCCTGAGTTTCCTGATCTGTATGGTGGAAACTGTAACAATTCTAACTGTGTAAGTTACTCTGAAGACTGAAGGAGATAAAGAACCTGCACGTGACACAAGGCCTTGCCTGACGAAAGCTGTTCTGCTGGGTTAGACATCTGCAGGGCCACCGTGAACAGGCTGTGTAAGGAGACAGTGGAGAAGGTGGTGAGCAACACGAGAAGGCATTACTTCCTAGGGTCTCGTGGGAGGTTCGTTACCTGGCGAACATGGCTTTCCGAAGGACGAGTATCAAGGAGTCTCTCACAGACATGCTGACTTTGAGAAGGGGCTGAAAGACAAAGAAGTAGGTAGAAAAACCCCCAAGTTTATTAGCCTTAGCTCAATTCTACCCCAGACTGTCACTATTTGGCTTATGTAAGGGTATCTGGTTGTTTTTAAATACCTGTTGCAGTGCTTATTACACTTTGTAATACGGATAATTTATACCTATCATCATCAGTTTTCTAAGAGCTTTTCAATTACCTCACTAACTTGAAAATGAGTCACAGGGGAGACAAGTGTGCCAGGAAGAAGGGGGTAAACTTAGAAACAGTCTCGCTCAGTGCTCCTGCACTTTTAATACAGTTTTATGCTTCAAAATCAAGAAATACAGGATTTCCAGACATTTATATTTATAAAGAATCATGTCAGACTTCCACTAGGTAGTTCAACCTCAGTTCTGCCAAACTCCTCAGGAGGCTGAAGACTTACCTGGACTGCCTTCAGCAGCCCTTGTACAGTTGGAAGCGGCAGAAAGGATAAATAGTCAAAAGTTTCTGTGACTTTAGCAGAACAACTTTGAAGAACTAAGGGTGAATACGTGATGATATTTGAAAGCAGATCTGGAAAACAGAATCTATAGTGAGTTGTCTCAAAAAACTAATAAAGATATTTCAAATAAAAGAAAATTAAATATGAGAAAAGAAATGGTAAAAGGTTTTTCGTTTCTTTTCTCAAGTATACAGCAACATCAATTTCTACTGATCCTCTATACTTTTTCTATGGTCAGTGTAACTAGGATATACTTTTGAAACATTCTTCGGTGATAATATTAAGATGATAAAAATTAGGGGTGCCTGGGTGGCTTAGTCGGTTAAGTGTCCGACTTTCGCTCAGGTCATGATCTAGCGGTTCGTGGGTTCGAGCCCCGCGTCAGGCTCTGTGCTGACTGCCAGCTCAGAGCCTGGAGCCTGTTTCAGAGTCTGTGACTCCCTCTCTCTCTCTGACCCTCTCCTGCTCACACTGTCTCTCTCTCTCTCTCTCTCTCTTAGAAATAAATAAACATTCAAAAAAATTTAAAAAAAAAGATTATAAAAATTAATCTACAGGAAGGGAAGAAATCTGTTACACTGCAAGACAAGTAGCATACAATGTCTTCAATATTTCCAAGCTGAAGTAAATCAATAAAGATCTATGAACTTTTATTTAAGTTTATTTTTGAGAGAGAACTAGCACAAGTGGTAGGGGGAGGGGGCAGAGATAGAGAATCCCAAGCAGGCTCTGCACTGTCAGCACAGAGCCTGATGCAGGGCTTGAACTAACAAACTGTGAGATCATGACCTGAGATGAAATGAAAAGTAGGACGCTTAACCGACTGAGCCACCCAGGCACCCAGCTATGAACTTTTATTATATGCAAGCATAGTATAGTCCTATAAGGTATATGCAAAACCATAAAAACATGGTCTCTCTTCTAGAATTTTAATCCAGAGTCATGAAAAGCATACTTTGAAAGAATGAAAGAGGTAAATAGTGGATCAATATCAAATAGCTAATAATCCCAAATATATTTTATTGCCTAGCAAATGTCTGAGGTGATGGAAGGAATTGCAGCTTCTGGAACTTGGAGAGCCAGGCTTCAAATAATAGAAATAAGAACCACTGAAAGGGGAATTTGTTTGAAGGACATTGTATTGCATTTGAAATAAAAGGAAAAAGAAAAACCTAAATGGAAATATCCAGCAGGAAGGGAGGCACTGAACCAAGGAAAGAAGACAGTCCTGACATAAAGATTTCAGAGTCATGTCCACCAAAGCTCACAAAAATAACTGTATCATGGAAAGAGGTGTGACATGTACAAGGAAAAGAAGGTATACAAAGAGGAGCAGACTTCTGCTTCCCACCATCACAGGCTAACAGTGACCAGATTTATCCTCCCACTATATATTTTTTTATTTCTGACAGAGAGAGAGAGAGAGAGAGAGAGAGAGAGAGAGAGAGACAGCATGAGCAGGGGAGGGTCAGAGACAGAGGGATATACAGAATCTGAAGCAGCTCCAGGCTCTAAGCTGTCAGCACAGAGCCCGACGCGGGCCTCGAACCCACAAACTGTGAGATCAGGACCTGAGCCAGTCTGACGCTTAACCGACTGAGCCACCCAGGCGCCACTATCCTGCTTTAAACAATAATAAAAAAAGCCAAATTATGTTAATAATTTTCAGACAATAGACAAGCAGTGCAGGACCATGGTCCCTGAGAGAAGGGAAGTAAGCGGGGTGTGCCTTATAACTGCTCCATCTTATGCTATGGCCTGGCCAGTTTCTAGGCAGCAGCACAGAGAGGGAAACTCCAAGTCCAGTGGTCTTCCCAACTTAAAGAGATGAAGGTGGGAATTCAAAAAAGCCAAGGTGGCAAGAACTAACAGGGCACAGTACTAGAAAGAAAAGAGCTACGTGGGAAGAGGGCCCTGGAGATGTGCAACAAGCTCCCTATGTATGTCAGCTGTGTTCTGGCAGGTGCAGGACTGTGAAGAAGCTACCAGAAGCCACGGAAAGACTCACCAGCAAGAAGCAGACAGATCTATTCTCAGAGGTCACCAAGGACAAATAATAGTTCACATTCACAATGACCGCAGTGGAGACACCTCATGATATACGAGGTTCTATACTAGGCATTAGTGAAACCTAACTAGCCGAAGATGAAAGGTCTTGTTTAATACAACATAATCATCCAAAGGATTAAATGTTTTCCAAAAGACTTAAAGCTCAAAATTATTTGAAAGAAAAAAAAAAATCCATGAAATTAACAATGTAAAAATTCACAGTGTCTGCTACCCAATCAACAATTACAAAGCACACAGGGCTGCCTGGCTGGCTCATTCGGTTAAGCTTCTGACTCTTGTTCAGGTCATGATCTCAGGGTTTGTGAGTCTGAGCTCCACGACGGACTCTGTGCTGACAGCTCAGAGCCTGGAGTCTACTTTGGATTCTGTGTCTCCCTCTCCCTTCTCCCTCTCTCTCTGCCTCTCCCCTGCTCACACTCTGTCTCTCAAAAATGAATGTTAAAAAAAAAAAATCTTTAAAAAAATTACAAAGCATGCAAAGAGGTGGGAAAATATGACCCATGATGAGGAAGAAATCAATAAAAACAAAACAGAAATGATACAAATGATAGGATTAGTAAAGATAGTAAAAAACCTAAAATAAATATAGTTCATATGTTCAAAAAAGTTAAGGGAAGCATGTTAAGGAGAGCAAAAATATAAAAAAGGATACAAATCAGATGTCTAAAGATGAAAAATTAGATCACTGCAGAAGATCTGAGAACTGAATGCAATATCAACTGTCTAAAACAAAACAGTAAAAAAGACTAAAAAAAATCTGTGAGATGTGTAGCAACGTAACGCAGCCTATTACACATGTAACACAGTATGGGGTGAGAGGGAGAAGACAGAAACAAGTTTTTGAAGAAATCACATCTGGGGGTGCCTGAGTGGCTCTGTCGGTTGAGCATCTGACACTTGATTTCAGCTCAGGTCACAATCTCAGTTTGTGACATCAAGTTTCACCTTGGGCTCTGCACTGACAGCATGGAGCTTGCTTGAGCTTCTCTCTCTCTCTATCTTTCTACCTTTCCCCCACTTATGCTCTTTCTCTCTCAAAATAAACAAACATTAAAAAAAAAAAAAGAGATATAATACCTCAAAATGTTCCAAGCTTGATGAAAACTATAAACCTACAGAACCAAGAAGCTTGACAAACTCCAACCAGAAACATGGAGAAAACTACACCGAAGTAAAACCATCGATAAAGAAAAAGTGTATAATATATAGAGAGGAACGAAGTATGAATGAAAGCTAACAAATCAGAAATGATGAAAGCCAAAAGGAACAGCAAAGCAACATCTTTAAAGTACTAAAAGAAAAAAAAAACTGAGAATTTAGAATTCTATACTCAGTAAAAATATCTTTCAAAAAACTAACACTGAAGACTTTCTGTGACGTACAAAAGAATTCAACAATAGCAGTATAGAAAAAAATTTTTTTTCTGAAGGATTTAGCAAAGATTTGCTTTTTTTTTTTTTCTATTTCTAGTCTTTTGAAGTAGACACAGGTTTACTTAGAATGAAGGTGATTCCAAGAGCACACAAAAACTGAACACAAAGAAGATGACTAATCCAGCAATCCAGAGTGATGCAGGGTGTAAGACACGGAGCAGGTGCCCTGGACAGAAGACTGACGTCCACAGTGGCTACCAACAGTCAGAGACCAAAGTCCCCACCCCGCAAGGGCACACAGCTTAGTGTCTGGACAGTGGGGTCTGTATTTGTTCCTGGGATTCTAAGCAGTATATGAAAGTTAAAGGCAGTGGGACAGAAAATGATACTAGATAGAAATCTGGATATAAACAAAGGAAAAAAAAAAGCATCAGAAATGGTAAACACGTGTAAAAGACATTTTTTAATTTTATTTTTTAATGTTTTTTATTTTTTGAGAGAGAGATAGAGACAGCGTGAGCAGGGGAGGGTCAGAGAGAGAGGGGGAGATACAGAATCCGAAGGCAGGCTCTAGGCTCTGAGCTGTCAGCACAGAGCCCAACGCGGGGCTCAAATCCACGAACCATGAGATCATGACCTGAGCTGAAGTTGGCCGCTTAACTGACTGAGCTACCCAGGTGCTCTGACATTTTCTTATTTTAAAAAATTCTTGGGGTGCCTGGGTGGCTCAGTCAGTTAAGCATCTAGCTCTTGACTTAGGCTCGGTTCATGATCTCACAGTTCCTGGGTTCAAGCCTTGCATCAGCACAGAGCCTGCTTGGGTTTCTCTGTCTCCCTCTCCCTCTGCCCCTCCCCGACTTGTACGCCTGTGCACTCTCCCTCAAAAGTAAATATTTAAAAAATAAAATAAATTCTTGAAAGACACAATTGACTGTTTAAAGCAAACATAACAATGTATATATAATTCAATAAAGAGAGAAGTAAAATATATGAGAAGAGCACAAAAGTCCCAGGAGCAGAAGTTAGAAATGGAAGTATATTTGTTGAGGTATACTACCTGAAGGTAAACTATAGTAAGTTAAAGTATCACAAACCCTAAAGCAACCAAAAAAAATTTTAAAAAGAAGTAATTGCTATTAATTAATTCCATCTTATCTTGCTAATCAAAATAGCAAGATAAAATGGAATTAAATAAAAAAGCAATCTGGGGCATTTGGGTGGCTCAGTTAAGCATCTGTCTCTTGATTTCAGCTCAGGTCATGATCTCACAGTTCGTGAGACTGAGCCCTCCATCGGGCTCCATGTTAACAGCACAGAGACTGCTTGGGATTCTCTCTTTTGCTTCTCACACATCCTCTCTCTCTCAAAATAAATAAATAAACATGAAAAAAACCCAAACCCCTCAATCCGAAAGAAGGCAGAAGAGCAGAAAAAAAAGAACAAAGAATAGACGGACAAAATAGAAAACAGCCAGATGATAATTACATTAAATGTAAATGGCGTGCCCTGATTTAAAGTCCATGATTATCAAACAGGATTGAAAAAGTAAAACACGATTGTATGTGGTCTACAAGAAACCCATGCTAACTATAAAGACATAATTAAATTAAAACTAAAATGATGAAAAA